TCTTATCTCATTTAATTTTTTTATAATTATTTATTAATTAAATATTAATATTTAAAAAAATTATCAATAAATAAAAAATATATTTTATATAATATAAATTATTTATCATAAATTTAAAATATAATATTCTACTTTCTTTTTTCTCCAAAAAAAACACCTGACAGGGTAACATGGACATGAATGTGATCAAGCAGATTTAAAATTGTTTAGTTCGTATTTGATTTTGATTTGTTAATGTAATTTTTCTTTCTCTCTCCATGTGAATTTTCATATCTCAAACCTGGTAATGCATGTAACTAAATAACCAAATATTACTGATATTTGTTTAAACATTCTAATATTTCACTCATTTTTATATAAAATTAAAAAACAAAATCTTCAAGTATTGTAATAAATTATATATTGAACAAATATCAGAACAATTAGGATTCAAAGTATTCAACGCTTCACTGAAATCTACAATTGTTTTTTTCTACCAAAAGTTGACCATTTTATCCTCGCCAAGCACGTGGCTGCTTTTTATAATTGAATAAATTGATGAATGAAAGACAAATAAAGCTCGATCTAGACCTAAGAAGAAGACAACAAATAAATAATAAAATCTCACGTTTACCTTTTCTTTTTCTGGCAGCAGCTTAACAATATCTATAGAAGTGAAAAAATCCGGAGAAAATAAAAACCAATTAATTCCTAACACGAATCTGTGACAAAAGGCTACAATGAAGTTCATAACTGCACTATGAAAAAGCAAAAGATCTAATCTAGGAGTGATACAGGCAAATGTGAAGTCATATAGTACGAGACTACAGTTATCCAGCATGTCATAAAATAACTAGAACAACTTGAATAACATTACAAAAGTCACCGGCTATATTAGTAGTAAGGTACATTAAGTTGCAGCTTACACTACATGATCATGATGAATACTTTCACTGAGCACAGCTCCAAATTACTTGTCCATTGTCAACCATTTTATTTACTTGCTCCTCAGCATGAATGCTGCTTTTTCCATCACTTACTGGGATTTCTTTAGCCTCTTCAACATTGTCCTTCACTTTCTCAGTCTCAGCTCCCCCATTTGCCTCAACCATCACAGTATCTGCTATGTCCTGCTTACTCTCAAATGTGCCATTTTCTTTTTCTGATACAATCAGTGCCGGTGCCGGTGCCGGAGCATCCTCTAGGGGTTTTTCAGTGACTTCAGTATTCAAAGCTTCTCCACCAGCAAATTTCTCCCCCGACTCTGCCAACATTGCTTCTTCCCCCTTAGGTTTTTCATCACTTGCATTTTCCACTTCTGAGTTATTGTTCTTGGTTTCCTCTGCGGCAGTCTTTGCTTCTGTGTTATTATCAGTTTCTTCTGCATCAGCCTTGGCTTCTTCCTCAGCAGCAGGTTCAGTTTCTTTGTTATCCTTCTTTGAGCCGGACGATGATTTTCGAGGTCGCTTCTTTGGAGGCTCAGTCTCTGATGGTGGAGTTGATTTGACCTTCTCGCTGATCCTTGCAGATCGCCTAGGAGTCTCACCGGTTCCCCAGTCAAACTCCGAGATGGAGGGATTCCCAGGATGTGCCTTTAGGTACTGCTCCAATTGTTTCTTGGAAGTGATCTCCTCCCCCGTAGGAGCTATGAATACAATCTCACTTTTCCTTGGTGTTCCTACTTTCTTAGGGAAGAACTGCAGAGTGAAACTAAAAACAGCATTACAAAAAAAAATCCTCGCACAGCAAAAACTTCAAGCAACCACAATAAAGTTTATCAATTTAACAGTGTTCAACAGTTAATAATACCCTCGTATGGGTACAAGAATCAGAAGGACCTGATAATATCATTAAATCACTAACCACTCCTTCACTAAATGCTTAATCTAGAATATTTTCAGTTAATATTTTCCTTCATAATTCACGGTTTCACAGAAGCTTTGGTTCACAAAAGGATCTAAAATAAATCAATCAATATTATCCCCCAACATTCACGACTTTCCGATAGCATATTTTATGAAATTTATTTCAGATAGGGAAGTTGCACTTCAAAATCCAGAATGGCCAACAAATTATAAGATTTAATGAGGAAAGGAGCAGCAATGAAATAGAATCCTGCACCAAAATTCTCTGAATCACATTTCACGCTTAAAAACTCGAAGCCATAGTAAAAAAGCACAAACAACCATTGTCTTCTAGTCGCTACAGTATAATGCCCAGAACCTTCTAGAATTATCCAGGAAATTTTCCAGGGATTAATAATCAAAGCAAGGAGCCAATTGCAAAGGCGTTAAAAAAATGAAGAAATTTTTTTTCAATGAAATTATAAACTAGCACCACCAGAAAATTTTTCAAGTAAAAGGTACCATGAAACCCTAGAAACAAAAATTAGCACCGAATTCTTCCAAACACTTGCACCACAAAAAATTTAAATCAAAACAGGCCATTGTTACAAGGTAATCCCTTTCCAGAAACCCTAGAAACAAAAATTTAGAACCGAATGGCGAATTTTTCCAAACATTTAACACTTCAAAAAAAAATACCAAGAGAATTTTTTTTTCCTTTTTTTTTTTTAAAAAAAAAAGGCACCTTTATTACAAGGAAACCCCTTTCCAGAAAACCCTAGAAACAAAATTTAGCACCGAAATAGCGAATTTTTCCAAACATTTACATTAAAAAAGAGAGAGAGAGAATTTTTCCTTTTTTTAAAAAAAAAAAAGATACCTTTATTACAAGGAAATCCCTTTCCAGAAAACCCTAGCAACAAAATTTAGCACCAAATGTGGAATTCTTCGGAACATCCACACGTCCAAAAAAAATTAACAAATTTATTTCTTTCAAAACAAGAGCTACCACTATTACAAAGAAATTCCTTTCCAGAAAACCCTAGAAACAAAATTTAGCACCAAATTCTTCCAACCATTCACACTACAAAAACCTGTAAAACTTTAAAAAAAAAAATAAAAAAAAAAAACACAAAATCGTGTTAGTAACAGAGCTGAAGCAAAGACAGCAACAAACAGAACAATAAGAATAAAACAACCGTAACAAGCAAAAAACCTAGGAAATGGGAACCTTAAAAAAAAGAGAGAGAGAAAGAGAATGAGGAATGAGAAGGGACCAGTTTCTTCCATGCAGGAGGTGCTGAAAGCTCAACCGACAAGACCTCGTCTTTAGCAGCACTTTGCGGTTCGGTCTCCATTGCTCTGACTTGGGAAACTACCAATTGCAACAACACAAACACTTTGTGTGTGCAATCTGCAATGCAATTAGGATATGCTTCTCTCTCTCTCTCTCTCTCAAACTGTCACCAAATTCAATTCTCGCTCAGGCTCTGATAAACTCACCCACCCCTTTCCTCAACCCTCCAATCAAATCCCCCACTCTGTCCCCCTATAAACTTCTTTCCATTTTTTTATTATTCTTTCACATCATTAATCTGCTTTCCCCCAAAATTTTTGACACGTGCCTATCAATAAACTTACCGCAAAAATTCGTGTCACCGAATCCCGCCTAAAATAATCACCAATATTTTTTGCACTTATTTTCTTAATACTAAAATGTTACTATAATATGAGCTAGTGTATTAAAAATAAAAAATGTTACTATGTTTTAATATATAAAAGAAATTAAAAATGAAATAGAAATTAATTTAATGGAAGTTAGAGTATGTAATTTAAAATTGAAAATAGTTGAAAGGTAGGTTGAAAAGGGTAATTAAGGAATAATGGTTGAAATTTGAAAATGGGGAGAGTGGTGGGGGTGGGGAGCGTGAAAGGGGGGTAGGTGTCACTCACACGTGAAAAGCTTGTGCGTTGTGGATAACGTTCTTTTCTTAACATTTAACCAAAATCAAATGTCTTGTTCGAGTCCGAAACTCACCGTCCAATAACATCTCTATTTTAAATTCTTTTTTTTCTTCTTTTTTTTATTATTATTTAAATCTGGATAACGTTCCCCCTTAACCTTTAACTAGAATCAAATGTGTATTTCGAGTCCGTAACTCACCCACCAATACCATTTCAAATTTAAATTCAAATTCTTCCAACCTTTTCTTTTATGACTTTTTTCTTTTTTACTTCAAACTAGTAAAGTCAAATTAAAACTAACCAACATACTCAAATTAATTATTAGTGGTTCTCCTTTCAAACAATTATTATTAATACTGAAGCTTTCTGGATTCAATTGTTAATGCAGGATTTAAAACACCGTCTTCAAGTAACTAAAATGGATCTCAAGCATCTCAGAAAACAATTGTGCACCCAGTGTTGTTCTTAATCTCACAATGTTAATTCAATTTTTTTTCTCTTTTTTATATATTAAAATTATAAAACATTAAACTAAATGAATGGTCAAGATTTCATTCCATGGTTTAAAAATTGTAGAAGATGGTAATCCGTCTAAATATAAACTTTGCTTAATGCTTGAGAAGAATTATGGTAAGAAATATGTACTTTAAAATCTTGCAAGTTTCTTAAGGTACTGATTAAATAATAAAAAATATTAAAAAAATTGAAAACTTGCGTTGAAAAACTATGAGAATCATGGTGTTATACTTTCTAATGAAAAAAATCATTGTAGATTCTTGATTACATTTTTCGAAACTTGTTATTGTTCCAATGGCTTTTATTTAGCCATGTATAAAATTTTGTTTCATTATTTAAAATTATATTCAAATATTAGTTTATGTATTTTTAATAAAAATCATATATTTTAATTTATTTTTTTTCTTTGTAAAGATAAGAAAGATTATAAAAATGGTTGTAATGAAGATTGAACATAGGTCCTCGTGCTTCTAACTACCACAATCATTCCCCACCCAATCACTAGGTTATCCGGTATATACTATGTTGGTAATTAAAAATTAACTTTGTATTAAAGTAACTTTGAATAGTTTTTTTCATTTCATTAAAAAAGAATTACTATGCTTTACTATTAATTTTTTAAGAAAAAATCTAAATATAAGCCAATTCAGTTTCAAATTAATTATATTTAAATTAATTTTACAAATATTCATTCAAAAATTAGTTTAAATTCACTATGTTCGTATCCATTTGTAGTATTTTTTTAGTGTTTGTTTGGTTATATTTTTAAAAGATACTTTAATCTTAAATTTATAGTTTAGATTAATTCAAATACTTTTATTCATAATAACAATAATAATAATAATATAAAAAGTACAATATTATCAAATTATAATATTTTAACTTGATAAGTAGATACTTGTCCTCATAGAAACAATTTATATAGGCAAAAACGGGCTTAAATATATTTTTAGTTCCTTAAATTTAAGATAAATTTATTTTTGGTCTCTCAAATTTAAAATTGTTATTTTTAGTTCCTGTAATTTTCAAAAATCTTGTTTTAGTCCCTTAAGTCACCAATAACATATTTGAAAGTAACTAATTAAGACAGTTATGCAATATTAACAAGATTTAATGTGATATTTTTACTAAAGACACGAATAGGTAGACTTTACGCAATAATGTTTGATAAATTTCTTAACAAAATTTGAATATAAGGACTAAAATAATATTTTTTAAAATTACAGGGACTAAAAATAATAATTTTAAATTTGAGGGACTAAAAATAAATTTATTCTAAATTTAAGATATTAAAAACATATTTAAGTAAAAAAAAATAAATGTGAGTTCGTGCAGAAACCCTTAAGACCAATGACAGGGTTAGGAGCAGAAATTATTCATAGTCTAGTAGAAAATTTTTGTAGCAGGACTAAGAAAAAATTTATAAAATTTTAGTGAGCAAAAATTGTAGAGACTTTGTGAATAATGATCATAGGAGGATTATGTGACGAGAGAATCAAAGTTTGATAAAAAAAATAAAAAATAAATAAAATAAAAATAAATAAATAAAAATTTTGCGATGGAGCTTGAAGAAGGAAGATAATGCGGGAGCTTTAGAAATTTGATAACATGGTATCAGGGAAGAAAAAAAATAAATAAATCAATATCTTAAATGTATTAAATGCTAAGAAATGGTTCAGCGGTAAGGGTTGATCCACGCTTAAGCAAGGTCAAGGGTTCGAATCCTGTCTTGTGTATGCAGCCACATTAAATCTTGAGGCCAGTTATCCCACCCTTTGAGATGCCTCCCTCGTAGCGAGGAGATTAGTCATTGCTATCGGCTTTGGATACTCCAGGAACGAAAAAAAAAAATGTTAAGAAAACAAATAGAATCCTAATATATATAAGAGATGCTGAACAAGTAAAGTAAACTAATTAATAAAATCAATTACAGTAGCTAAGTTTTAGCTATATCGCTCAAAAAATTATTACTGTCCAATATTTTGTAAGGGTTCACTAATCACTATTGAGAATGAAGTGAAGAGTGTGGATATTAATTGAAAAAATTAATATGTATGAATTTAATCACAATCTTGGCTATCAATTTTTGTAGTTTCTTATGTTAGATAGTCAAATTCATGTTAAAAAAGAGAATCTCGATGTCGAATGTGAATCTATTTCTAAATTTTTATTTGAAATATGTACATATTAGACCTCTTATATCCAATATGAGTAATTTGTATCTTACCTCTTAAGTAACTTTTATCAATCTTAGTGACAAGCTAAGACTTAATTAAATGCAAATAAAAAATTATATATATATATATATATATATGAAAAGATCTACTTATTCTTAAAATAAATTTTGATAAATTTATTTCACTCAATAATTAATGTTCTACATTAAATTTCATTAATTTAATTTTTAAATTAAAAGTTTTAAACATATAAATCAAATTTACAATATAAAAGAAAAATGTAGATTTAATATATATATTAATAAATTTTAATTTAATAATTAAATTATTAAAAATTGATATAAAAATAAATTATTAAGTGAAATAAGTTTATTAAATAATTATATAT